TATTACAGACTGCAACAGTCAAAGTTTGAGGCGCACTATTATGATGAAATTTTATTTCCTAAATGTATGTGCACCTAATGCAAAGGTATATTTTCTCTGGACCCCTGCCCAATCTGACCAGGGATGATATGTATAACCACAAGTCATCATTCAACTGCTGTTTGTCAAGGTGGTTCCCAGAAAACAATGTGGGCTTAATAGATAACTGGAAAAGTTTCTGGGGAAAACCTGGTCTCATTAGGAGAGACAGCATACATCCCACTTTGGATGGTATGGCGCTCTTATAGCTAGGAATATGGAGAATTTTATTAGAAAACCAAATCGCCGACAGTCCAGAGGTGAGACCAGGAAGCAAAGTCACAGTCTTACATGCTTCTGCTGTCACCCTTCCAGTATCCTATAGAGGCTGTGTCTGCCTCCCGACCACCCAGATTGTAAGTCTAACTTTATCAATAGAAGGACTGTTCATAACAGCCTTCTCCAAATATGAACAGCTCCATCAGCATCAAAAAACAGGATAATTAAATGTGGACTATTAAATATTAGTCATCTAAATCTCTTTTAGTTAATGATCTGATAACTACGGAGCCCCAGACATGACATGGTCAAAATAAAATTAAATCGTGGCCACAATATAGCTATAACGTGCAAACGAAGTAGTATCTCATGAGCATGAAATACTAATTCATTCCCACGTTATAGCTATATTGTGGCTACGAAATAAGTATAACGTGGGCACGAAATACTAATTTGTGGCCACGAAGTAATGTGTGCACAAAAGAATATCGTTCCTGGACAACTGGGTAAGCAAATCGAGTGCACCTTCTCTGCAATATCCTCCGTACTGCGGAGACCTGTACCTATTTGATGTCCTTAAGGTGAGTGTCTTTTCTTGTTACCTCCTTACGCCAAGGAGGTTATGTTTTAGCTGGCGTTTATCTGTTTGTTAGCAAGATAAATCGAAAAGTTAAGAACGGAATTTCATGAAATTTTTAGGATATGCTGATAATGGCACAATGAACTGATAATTAAATTTTGTTGATGTTCTGGCGTACCATCTGGTTATTTTCTCATAAAACAGTAAATGGTGGCAAGTGTCACAGTTGCGCAGAATGCTGTCATTGTGTCATTTGTCCACTAGATGGAGCTCTGACTCCATTCAGTCCTCAGTCCTCACCGATGTCTTCACAGTAGCACAGGAGTAAGCTACAGCCAGGCAACATGGCAGGAGTGGGCTGAGCAGAGCTACTGACAGATAAGTTCACAGCGACATTGTGACATTAACAAAGACTCATCATGTCTCCTGTTTCACTTTAACTCTCATTGTCATGTGTCATGATGACTGACGCGTGCTTCGTTGCGTCAGTCATGCTTTTCATTTATGTTGCAAAAGTTGTGCTAACCTAGCTTAAGTTAATCCCTGTTTATGTTAGTGTAACCCACTCCCTCTGTGCATCCACTGCAGTGGATCCACTGCAGCCAGCATGCTGGCTGGTTCCTCTCCACTCACACGGTATTCTTTGTTGTGTTTAATGATGTGTGAACAGGTGCTGGTGTGGAAAGTCCAAAGATTACACCGGACACAGGGGTTCTGAACTGCGGCTGAAAAACAAAGTCGGCGTTTTATTCTTTTCCCAAAACAAGCAGCACTTCTCCGGAGTAGTATACAGACATCCAAATGTTTGCCCAACACTGCGCCGCATCCGCGCTCTCAAAACCAAAAACAAACTATGGTGTCAGGACAAAACAGTAGAAATTACAGCATTTCTCGAAGGACAGGCAGCGCAACATCACCACTTACTAGACTAATCAATGAACTACCTTACATTCACCCCTGCTTTAGTTGATTGGGTCCCAGCCATCAGACTACATGAAATCCAAAATAAAACCACTCGTTATCACATAACGACATAATCACAGGGTAGAAGCAAAACAGTAACAACCAAAGTGATGAATAAGTGAGTGCAATATCTAACATGTCTGCGTAGCTCTGTTGTGTGTTATGGTTGTTGCTTTACATGTGCCCTGCCACTCTTCTGGCTTTTGCCCTTTGCCACAATTTCCGCCCTCTTTCTATCTTCTGCTGGTCACTCTCTGTCCTCCTAACTTGCGACTCATATGACAGTCTCTTTGGAGGACGCCAAAGCCTCGGCAGATTTTTTCTTGGATTACCAGGTCCTGCACTCGGGTGGACATCCTGACAGTCTCATTGACCTCCCCTGGTTGTCTGACCTCAATATCCATCTCCTCCTTGTTTGTGCATCCATCCTCTCCACTCATAGCTCCAGACAGAATTTCCTCCACAGTTCCCTCGATCCCAAAAGTCGTGCATCCGGTTGTGACCGAGGCCATAGCTGTACTGTTCAATGTGATCCAGTAATGTATCTGTTGAAGGAACCTGGTCCAAACAATCAAATTTAACAGCTGAAAGCATGCCAGCTAAAACGTTGATCACAAAATACTAAAGGGACAGTTGGAACAGAAAATGTAATTTCAAAGATTCCTTGGAACAATCTCCATGGAGGGAGCTGCATCCCCTCTCAAGCTTTTATTGCAGAGAAGAACACGGGCAGTAGAAAAACAACGGGGTTTGTAATGGTTCCCTACTGTCATCACAATAAAGTCATGGCAAGTGTTATTTTGAGCTGCAGTGACTGAATAAGACTATAAAGACAGTGCCAAGAGTCATGTTGGGAAATTGTACTTTATTGAATCTGAAACAATAAGTAAACAATAATAATTTATTACAAAAAGTCACATAACAGGAAAACTTGAACATATTTTAGGTTGTTTTCACCATCAACCAAAGCAGTCATAGTTAGGACAGCCTTACTCACACTTTGACTGTAATTAGCATTTTAAATGGAGTGTGCATAATGTGCATAGTCAAGTTTATGAGTCCAAAGCACTTACTATTCCACAAGCTACTTGGAAAAGGCAGCTTTGAAAAACATTTTTCTTTGAGCTTTTTCTGGTCATGTGTCAACAGTGATTGTTTAGCTTCTGGACCAGAACTGTACATTGAAAAACACACATTTTTAGGAAATTGCTTGTGGGGACATTCCTTTGTTAGGAGTTAGTAGTAAATTTTAACTCTAGTGGTTAGCAAAACAACTATTTATCACAACCTGATAGAGTAGCCACAATACTAGTTTGGCTGGTGAGCGCTTATTCTGTACTTGTGAAAACAATCAATCTTAGAAGTTAGAAGAATTATCTACAAACGGACACATTTGGTGATTTGCACGCAATCACCACAGAGGCACCAATGATGCAAGCATTCATTCCAACTCCTACGCCAGACTCTTTATTTTAATTCAGCATTTAACTCCTTGCAGCCCTTTATTTTACTGAATACAATTCAGTTCAATTCTCCTGAAATTTCATTAAGTGCCAATACCCAACACAAGCCAACTCAGGGCACTTCACATAGTGAGGTCAAGACCTTCCTGTTTTATTTTACATTGAGTAACTCAACAAATCCAGTTATTCCCTTTGAACAGACAGTAGTAAAAAAAACAAAACAAAACAAAAAAAACTCCCCTTTGCAAAGCCCGGGTTGGGAATTGTAACCATATGCCTCAGCCGAATGGGGTGAGGGTATAGGCGAGAGAAACAGACAGACATCAGTTAAGATAATAGTAAACACTGAGCAGGTTAGCAGTGCCATTAACTGCAGATCAGAAGTGTGTAGCAGAGGTAGAGATACCTGCAAAGAGGAAAAAACACAAGGTACGGGTGCTAAAATTATTCTCACATAATAGCCTCTCTTCATCAACTTCCTGTCTAATCCAGAATAGAGTTTAAAGTCTTTCTCTTCATATCCTTTTTGACCAAGCTCCATCTTATCTTAAAGACCTTGTAGTGCAATATTATCCCAATGACGCACTATTCTCTCAGTGCAGGTTCACCTATCAGGATCCTTTTCTGTAAAACCCACTCCCAGTTTGGGTTCAAGTGGCAGACACCCCAATCAGTTGGCCTCCCTAAACTGTTCTGTCTGAGGGTACCTTCTGTTAAAAGGAAGTTCTTCATCCCCACTGTCACCAAGTGTTTGCTTCAGGTGAAATTGTTGTATATTTCCCTACAATATTGTAAGGTCTTCATCCCACCCTGCCTTACCATGACTTATGTTGTGATTTGTACTTTATAAATAAAACTGAACTGAACTGTGTTTAACACCAGTACATATTTCATTAAAAAAAATAAATAAATAAAAATGCATTCCAGCAATAGGCATTCACAAACAATACTTGGACCACAAATCATTGTAAATCCTCATTTGTTTGACTTTTTTGATGAATTAGTTAGACCAATTAGTTTTTTATATTTGAAGGAATTTTTTACAAATAATAAAATTCACAAAACTGCATTACCAATACCAAAATCATCATGTTATTTAAAATATTGTCTTAAGCCACTGTGATTGACACTGAACTATGTCATATTGTGATTTTGTAGTGGTAAAAATTGGTCACATAATATTCAAGATCAGAATTGTCTCTGTCTTAACTGAATCTTACATACTTTGTTGCAAAGTTTAGTTACCTGTTTGCACAATTTCAGCCACTCTTTTTTCCACCTAAACGGATTTTCACACATTGAAGTTTTTGCATATTAGCTTATGAATATTTGTTCGAAACACCGAGCATAAAAAATGCATTAAACATTCAAAGGAACAACTTCAAGGTACAGTTAATTTTTTTTTGTTGGGTTTCCTTAATTTTGGAAATAAGTTCTGGAAAGTCTTCAGAATCTGAATATAATGACTGATTTTATATGTACCTAACTGCTGCACAGTCCTTCAAACTTGAGTTTTATGAGAAATTACCCTCCTGCATCTCAACACATTCAAAAGGGCAACAGGCAGCACGATAACAGCAGTACACAGTGTTTCTAAGAAAGATCAGATCCCAAACTGTCTCAGCTGCCTACTGTCATCTCATATTAATTCAGTAGGTGGACTTTTCAGTCTCTTGGACTTGGCCGGGTGAAGTCTGTCAAGACTGACCCTTTTTTCCAAGAATTCTGTGGAGTTCTGGGGACATGAGGTAAGGTCTTTCTGAACTACCATCATTCCTTTCCAAGTCATCACCTGTTTAGATAAATAGATCATTTATGGGGGGATGGATAAAGGGTAAGCATGGGTGGATGGAGAAGGATTAGCATGGGAGAAAAAGCAGGTATAGATAACACATAGACAATGGATGATGGAAAAAAAACATTTGGAGGGAACAGGTATAGACACAGAGGGTGTAAAGGATGGGATTTAAAGTTGAGACAAAAAAATAAAGAGGTTCATTGGTGTTAAAATTAAAAAAGGGACATGCAAAAACACAAGCAACATGTGATTAAAGACTTCCTAAAACACAGTCTTTGTTTGATAAAAACATCGAATCAAAGCATTTAAAAAAAATGATTGATATCAGTAAAATCATTAACTTTTTTAACTTACCAAAGTGCAGTATTGTTTTTGGGAATATTGTACAATGTTGACTATTAGAACTGCTTTCTTTGAGTATAGCACATCCCTTTCCAAAAGCAATCTAACTTTACTATCTTATTTATGCTAAAAAGTCACCAGCACTGTAGTAAAAACAGTGATGACAGTGTTGCACTTACAAAAGCACAGGAAGAGGGTGTCGACACACATGGCATAGACGCTGAAGAAACTGTGAGCAATCAGGTAGGCACCTATCACCACTGTCTAATTTGAGAAACACAGGTTAGAAATTCACAGCAGAGCTGAGGCGGGTGCTTTGAAAGCAAATATAACAGAACACAAGAACTGATAAGAAACTACAAAAAATAATAATGGGTTAAAATGCTTGTACAGACATGGTCAAAATTACTAGCACACTTTCAAATAGAAAAAAATAATTTTGCAATTTTGTCTGAATAAAGTTGAATGTAACATACTGGGTTATTTTAAATTATACAACAGATGGAAATAGCATAGGCAGAAAATTGGGATCCATAACTTTATACTGTGCATCACACATCCATCCATCCATTATCTATACACCGCTTAATCCTCACTAGGGTTCCGGGGGGGCTGGAGCCTATCCCAGCCGACTTAGGGCGAAGGCAGGGGACACCCTGGACAGGTCACCAGTTTATCACAGGGCCACACTTAGAGACAGACAACCAAGCACACTCACATTCACACCTACGGACAATTTAGAATCACCAATTAACCTCAACATGTTTTTGGATTTGTGGGAGGAAGCTGGAGAACCTGGAGAGAACCCACGCTGCACGGGGAGAACATGCAAACTCCACGCAGAAAGATCCTGGGTGTCCTCACTGGGACACAAACCGGCGACCTTCTTGCTGCGAGGCACTGGTGCTAACCACCAAGCCACCTTGCAGCCCTGCATCACACATGTTAAGGCAATTACTGCAATCAAGGGCTTTTTTTTTTTTAAAGCTTTTAATGAGACTTACATTCCTTTTAGGCTAGTTTGACCCTTTTTGAACAAACTGCCCCAGTTCTCTCAGGTTTGACTGGTGTGTTCTTCCAACTGTCCAGTTCTGCTCTTAGATGTTCACTTGGATTAAGATCAGGATTCATACACATCACTTTAGAATGGTTCAGTGTTTTCTACTCAACAGTTTCTGGTGCTTTTAGAGGTATGTTTGTGGTTATTACACTGTTTTGAAGGAGGCATGATCTGCAGCTGAGACAGTGCCCTCTGATAGTGGGCAGTATACTTTACTGCAACTGACCAAAAAGCTCTAAAATGTGTTCATCTGTCTGGAGGACAATTTCTTTGGTATTAGTCCACATGCAATTTCACAATCTTGAATGTGGTCTTTTTATTTTTCTCCTAATATTCACAAAGTGATGTAAGTGCAACCAGATACTATTATACTTTAAACTTAAAGGGCAATTTGTATCTGTTTTTCTTGGTTCTTGTCACACCACATAAACAATCCTTTCTGTTCATTTTGGGATCAATGTTCCTTATGCAAACACATCCAGGGAGGTAGATGACAATCCCATGGACATTAAATATTCTAATAAAATTAGCAGCTGTGGTCACAGGGACATCAAGCTGCTTGAAGATGGTCTTTACTGGGACTATGCTTAGCAACAATTTTCTTTCTCATCTCCCCAGACAACTGAAAAGTATATTTACAAAAACAGATAACTCAATTTTTGTAGATTTTCAGAAAGCTTATTTTGTTGTTGTTTGCTAGAGATGATAATCAAACTGAAGTTGAGTGGATTTGACTCAGTAGAAATGACATGACAAAAACAGAGATAACTTAAGTTTGATTGATAATGTCTCAGGTAGACGATGGAAAATGGGTTTTCTGAAGGTTTGTGAAGATGGAGTTATCTGTTTTCCTAAATGAACTCTTCAATTCTTTTCTTATATTTCTCATGTTGATGTTTACCGTGGCCTGCAAGGTGGCTCGGTGGTTAGCACAGCAAGAAGGTCGTCGGTTCGCATCTCGCTGAAGACACCCAGGATCTTTCTGCGTGGAGTTTGCATGTTCTCCCCATGCAGCGTGGGTTCTCTACAGGTTCTCCAGCTTCTTCCCACAGTCCAGAAACATGTTGAGATTAATAGGTGATTCTAAATTGTCCATAGGTGTGAATGTGAGTGTGCTTGGTTGTCTGTCTCTAAGTGTAGCCCTGCGTTAGACTGGTGACCTGTCCAGGGTGTCCCCTGCCTTCACCCTAAGTCAGCTGGGATAGGCTCCAGCCCTCCTGCGACCCTAGTGAGGATTAAGCGGTGTATAGATAATGGATGGATGGATGTTCACTGTGATGCGTACAATGATACCAAATAGCTGAATTAATTATTTGCTCCATTTTAATAGAGTGAAGGGCACCTGACAAGACTGAAAACTTCTATATAGTAATTTACTGACAACTGTCGAGGCCCTTTGTAGAACAAGGTAGAATTCATTTTTTTTCAGCCTATTTTCTCAGTTTTATTCTATGGTAGACCAAAGGCGTGCATGTTTACATGACTAATGAGGTTTTAAATTCAACACTATTTAAGAAAAGCAAAATCATGTTTTAGTTAGGTGTAAATTTACCAACATTTTTGGCCATGTTGTAAAATCAAAACTCTCACCAGTAAGGGGACCCAGTAGTAGTTGAGACTGGGGACTTCCTCCTGAATAACTGAGATCTTCCTAGTAAAAAAAAAGAACCCAACCACACCTAAAAAAAAAACACACAGACACACACAAACCAAGTGACACACTGTCTTTCTGTCTACATGTGTTCTTTGTACTCGGTGTTACAGTTTTCTGAAAGCATTAATTCTATTAAAATAAAGTCTGTGGGTAAAAAATACTATTGGAAATTGTAATGTGAAAGATAAACAGCGGCAGACCAATGTAAGACTTCAGCCTTATATTATCACTTACCCACTCCTCCTGCTATCAGCACTTTGCTCAGAAATAGCAGAAAATCTGTCAGTCTGTCTAGAACTGCAACCCTACAAAAAAAAAAAAGTCAGATCAGCCTCACCATACAAGCATATTCAAAACAATACTAGTGAAAAGAGTGTAAACAAATTTTGTTGGCCTGGCAGCTAACTCCAAAGTAACTGGAGCAATGGATCACATTTGCACAGATCTTCTGTTAACACTGCAAAGAGAACAAAACAGCGACCAACTTTCTCTAATCTGTGGCCTCAAAAACCTGCAAAGAACAGCCACAACTCTGTGAAGCCTGCGCACTGGCAATCAGGCTGACAGAACCACCATCTAGAAAAGAAGCACACCAAGTACCTACAGTGGATATAATAAGTATTGAACACGTCACCATTTTTCACAGAAAATGTATTTCTAAAGGTGCCGTTGACATGAAATTTTCACCAGATGGTGGTAACAAACCATGTAATCCACACATGCAAAGAAATCAGACTATAGATGTCCATAAATTATGTGTAATAATGTGAAATGACATAGGGAGAAAGTATTGAACATGCTTGCTGAAATTTATTTAATACTTTGTACAAAGCCGTTGCTGATAATGACAGCTTCAAGATGCCTCCTGTAAGGAGAAACTACTTGCATGCATTGTTCAGATGTGATTTTGGCCCATTCTTCCACAAAGTCTACAAATCTTGAAGGTTCTGTGGGCCTCTTCTATGAACTCTGATCTTTAGTTCTTTCCATAGATTTTCAACTGGATTCAAGTCAGGCGATTGGCTGGGCCATTCTAGCAGCTTTATGTTCTTTCTCTGAAACCAGTTGAGAATTTCCTTGGCTGTGTGTTTGGGATCATTGTCTTGCTGAAATGTCCACCCTTGTTTCATCGTCATCACCCTGGTAGATGGCAGCAGACTTTTATCAAGAATATCTCACTACATTTTTCCATTCATCCTTCCTTCAATTATATGAAGTTTGCCAGTACCGTATGCTGAAAAACAGCCCCACACCATGATGTTCCCACCTCCAAACTTCACTGTGATGTGCTGTGCCGTATGTCCTTCAAACATGGTGTGTATTATGGCATCCAAAGAGTTCAATTTTGGTCTAATCTGACCAGACTATAGTTTCCCAGTATTTCACAGGCTTGTCCAAATGTTGTGCAGAAAACTTTAAACGAGCTTCAATATGCTTTTTCTTCAGCAATGGAGTCTTGCGTGGTGAGTGTGCATACAGGCCATGGTGGTTGAATGCATTACTAATTGTTTTCTTTGAAACAATTGTACCTGCTAATTCCAGGTCTTTCTAAAGCTCTTCACAAGTGATCCTTGGCTCTTGGACAACTCTTCTGATAATTCTTTTTCACTCTTCTGTCATAAATCTTGCAAGGAGCACCTGGTTGTGACCAGTTTATTGTAAAATGATGTTCTTTCCACTTCCGGATCATGGTCAAGTTGCACTGACAAGGGGCAGGATTGCTTTCTTATCACTGGTTAATTTCAGCTGGTGTCTTGGCTTTCCATGCGTTTTTGCACCTCCCTTTCTTCATGTGTTCAATACTTTTCCCCTGTGTCATTTCACATTAATACACATAACTTAATTTATGGACATGTATAATTTGATTTCTTTACATGTGTGGATTACGTGGGTTGTTACCAACACCTGGTGAAAATTTATGTGTACTGAGAAAAATGATGACGTGTCCATCCATCCATTATCTATACACCGCTTAATCCTCATTAGGGTCGCGGGGG